CTAGCATATAGGCTGAATGTCATCTCCCTAAAGAACTAATTTAGGACTACTTTAGGGACAGACAAACCATTCAGGGAAGAAAACTGTCTTCTCAACGCAAGCAAAAGGCAACTTCAATTAAAGGAATAATTAAAGCAGATACTTCAGTACTGTTAGAGATAACAGCAACTTGATAAAAGCTAGGTCAAAGACAAGCAAGTTCAGTAGATGTCTAACAGAAAGCTCCAGAGAGCAAGCAGAGAAGTCCCCCTACATTATTATAACTGTAATGAGTTTGGAATAGGAGAGAAAAATATAAACTGTCAGAAAAGGCTTTGTAATTATTGTTATTTTCTCTTTACCTTGGGGTTTATTTTCTAAGCTCTGTTAGTCTGAATTCTGAATAAAGAGCTTATGCAGTGGTGATTAGGACCTGAGGAAACAGATTATCCTGCACATGAGATGGTGTACTTGATAGTCCATTTAGTGACTTAAATAAAAAGTAACTAACAAGCAGATTGATGTTCACATTGGCCAGTCTGGTGTAGGAGTTACTTCTGTTTATGTGTTACTTTCATTAGTTAATGAATAAAGAAACTGCTTTGGCCTGATAGAGCAGAACTTAGGTAGGCAGAGAAGACAGAACTGAATTCTGGGAGGAAGAAAGCAGAGTCAGGAGAGAGCTGCCATGGAGCCACCAGGTCAGACATGCTGAATATTTCCGGGTAAGAGACGACATTGTGGTGATATACAGATTAATAGAAATAGGCTAAATCAAGATGTGAGAGTTAGCCAATAAAAGGCTAGAGCTAATGGGCCAAGCAGTAATTTAATTAATACAGTTTCTGTGTGGTTATTTCGGGTGTAAGCTAGCTGGGTGGCCGGGAAAAATAAACAGGCTCTTCCTCATGCAACACCAGTCAGTTAGTTTTTATCCCAAAAGTAAGTCAAGTTGATAAAGTGATCCTTAGGCTGCCTGATTATTTCTGAAATCAAAGCCAGAAAATGCACTCCCCATATTGTCCAGATATTCTTTCCCACTGTTTGTTGTCACACTAATTTTAACAAGCTTAGACAGTATTTTTCCAATCTTCCACTTTTCATTACTCCAGGTTGCCTTTTCATATCTTCTCATTATATCAAGATTTAAGGCCAATGCTCTCCTATTGCTCTAGAAAGCATTAATCTCCCTCTTATTATCACAGGCTTCAGACTATATCCAATCAATATGGAAGTATTTCTAATAAAACAGACTATGAGGTACAGCATTTAGTAAAAAATAAGTAGTCATTTTATCAAGGCTTGCATTATTTTTGTCCTTATTAAGTGAACAGGCCAAACTAAATCCACTAACCATGTGGTGAACATTATACCGCTAAATTGTCACAGGCTAATTTCTCTCACTGAGAAGTCGTCTCTAGAAAAAGAGTCACATACACACTTCAGACCCAAACATATTTGTGTCAAGTGTCCTCCAAGGCATCCAAGGGGAATGACCCTGCTAACTCTGTGAGGTAGAGGGAAGAAAACAGCAAAACAGCCCAAGAAAAAATAAAAAAAAAAAACACTGTGCCCTTGAAAACGTCTAGAAGGTAAGCTATTTTCAACAGAGGTTACTATTGTTTATCCCATGATATAAAAATGCCTGCAGTGGGAAAGAGATACCAGAAGCTCAGCCATGGGAAGCTCAGTCACAGAAAGAAAGCTCAATCAGGATTCTGGATGACTGCCTCAACTTCCTTTACTGGTTTTTGTTGGCTACCGTGTTTGATTTGATGCCATATCTCTATCTATTACTATTTGTTCATTTACTCTATAGCCTCACCTGAGTGGGCACTCTGTTCTATCCACAATGTTCTCTATTGGGAACTCCAGCTGCCTGTCTTAACAGGCTCTCCCTGTTGATTTTTGCTAAATGTTCTGAACATGATCTGACAGTATTTTGCTATTTATGTATGTGCATATAAATGTTTATTGATCATCTATGAACCTATATACCTACCTATTTCCTTCTTGTCATTTATTTTTTTGATGTCCTATTTATTTTTATTTTATGTGCATTATGGTGTTTGCCGTGGATATCATGTCCCCTAGAACTAGCGTTACAGTCAGTTGTGAGCTGCCCTGTGGGTGTTGGAAATTGAACCTGGGTCCTCTGGAAGAGCAGTCAGTGCTCTTAACCACTGAGCCATTTCTCGAACTGCCATCTAGTCTTTTGTTGTGGCTTGTTATAAACTTAATGAACTCACCCATCATTCTCCAGACCATACAGAACAAATAGATTCTCCTTTAGAAAGGCCTAACTAAACATTTAAATGTAGGAGTAAAGATTTCAATCCTGGCTGTCAAGAGGGTTTAGTGTGTAAATGTGCTTGCCACACAGTCCTGGCAATCTGTGATATATCCCCTACACCAAAAAAAATGAAAAGAACACACTCCATGAGGTTATCTTCTGACTTCCACATGTGTACCATGGCATATGCATGCCTGTATGCATTCACACATTCATATAGAAATAACAAATCATTTTTTAAAAAATCTTGAATCTTTAAAAATCTCAATATTTTATTATAAAATGAACAATTCATCTATTTTTAAAAGCAAAATTTTCAAACACTGAAACTAACATGCCTTTTTCACAAACCCTTTATGACAGCCACATGAGATAAATAGATCATTTAAATATATTCTGAGATGGCAATTTTTAATTAACGGCAATATTTGCAAAGAATATACAAGTGGAAATAAATTTTAAAAAATCAAGCTGTATATGTTTCAGCTAGTTTCACTGCAAAATCTATCATTTGTTATGCTAGTAAATATTCTAATAGTAAATATTCTATCTAGTGGTTTATATATTCTGTCATCTCAACAGTTAAATTTTAGATACCAAGGACTTTGTCTTGTTAAGTACTGTATCTCCCACATGTAGCATAAAGTTTGGTACTTAGCAAGTACATAACATAAACTTTTTAAAATTAAGTTTATTACTGCATGTGTGTTTGTGCACGTGTGCACATGAAAGCACATATGCACAAGAGCCAAAGAATAACACAGGGGATGTCAGGCTCAACAGCAGGCAACTTTACATGCTAAGTCATTCTATTGGCCCAGACATATACTTTATAAATGAATGCACTGTGGTTGAGGAAGGTCTTACAATTTCACACTGTAACAATACCTAATATTTACTGAGCACCTCCTATATGCTGATCACTATTTAGTAACTTTAACATGGTGAGTAGAATTAACTCATTTAAATTCCTTTTAGTATGTTTTTTAACGCAATTTTACAGAAGAACCTGAAGCATCCAGAGTTTCAGAAAATTGTTTAAGGTCATTCCATTAGGAAGTGATGGAGCCCAGATTCAAATTCTATGTGGTTCTAGAACTGAGGCTCTCAACAATAATTAGATGCTATGTCTCTTTTTCTTTTCCATTTGACCACTAAACCCTATTATTTTATGATTCCATTTAGCCAACAAAATTCAAGTTATACAAGCATAACAAAAGAAAAAAGCTGAAGACCAAAACAAAAATTATGATTATGATTGCTTTGTTCTATTTCATCTAAAAAGAAATACTTAAAATTTATCCTGCATCATTTTTAAATGCACCAATATCAAAATTTTATCATTAGATGAGAAAAACTTTCAACATTTAAATAATACAACATATATAAAATACTTGTTTAGTTGGAGCTTAAGAGAAGTGGCTGACTTCTCCTTTATTAGTCAACATATTTTCAATCATAGAGCATTATTAGCAACTATCCTTAAGAGTCCTTAGTGACAGATGATCCTGAAAACTGGAAAACTCATGCCAAAGAGTAACACATAAATATACAAATATCACTACTTGGCTGAATTTTTAAAAATTCTATCATATTATACTGTGTTAATTCTAAAGACAGTCATAAGGGCTAGTGATATATACAGAAATGGAAATATGAATACAATGTGCTTTGAGTTACTTGAAAGTACAGAGCAACACTAGACATCAAGAAAACAAAGTTTTCTTACCAATTATACACTATCAGTAAAATAATTCCTATTTACGAAGCATCCATAATTTACAGAGCTCTTTGCATAAAGTTTTCTTTCCTTAACTCATTGCTACTTAGAGATATAATATGTCTATATGAAAAAAAAATGAGTGGGGGGGGAGGAAGGGGAAGGAGAGACAAAGAGGAAGAAAGAGAGAGGCGGGGGGAGGGAGAAAAAAGAGGGAGAGAGATTAGGTTGAGGCAAGCCCCAAGAAAAGGAACAGATGGAGATATATGTAACAGTACTCTGGCGACATTTTCACTCACATAGTGCAAGTATAGTCCAAATAAGTCTTTTTATTTCAGTGGCTCTACTGATTAACATGTCTATAGGATAATAACAATGATAATGTCAAAGGATATCAAGAATAGCTGAATCGGATCATGTGGATAGATTTACCATGAACTGATATTCTAAGATCTAAGTATATACAGGCAAAACAATGACCTGCACACACAAATTATAATTGCTAAACAAAATTTACCTATATTTATAAGGCTATGGTATATAACAAAGTCAGTTAATGCTACTTTAGAGAACTAAAACATTTAAAACAGCATGGTAGCATACGTCTATAAACCAGTGCTTCAAAGATTGAAACAGGAAGATACTGTGTTTGAAGCCAGAACGAAATACATAGCAAGGCTCTGTCTCAACAAGCCAAAGCAACAGTAAAAACAACCACAATAGAACAGTTAAGTTAATGAAAAATTTTTTTAATTCAGTCAACCATGAATTTTTGCTATAAGTCATAGAAAATCTCATCTATATAATATTTACCAATTTATATAGGGTTTTTTGTATTAGAAAGTATCATTAGATGAACCAATCAAAAAGTATTAGAATATGATAATCTTATGGACACATTTTCTACTCATGTACAATAATCACTAAGAATTTCCAGGTACTTGTCATTCACTCCTTTTAAAATTAATTTTTAAAGTTGATATAGAAATGTTTGGTATTCACTCTTACCCCTTCTTTTGGGTCTGTGTGGAGTCCTCCTCCTGCGTGCCCATGCCAACATGTTCTCTTTTCTATCAGTGGCCATGCCTGAAGAGCCTAGGTAAAAATGATACCAAGCAGTCTAGTTATTAGCTATTATGGAATTTCAGATGTCTTAATCTAATCTATCACTAAAATAAATTCAAAGGCATTATGTCAACTCTGGCATAGTAAAGCAAAACATTTCCAGAATTAACATATAGCTAAGTTTATACAAGGAATATTTAAATATAACAAATATTCAACTTACTTTTTCTAAATAGCTTTTAAAATTACTTTTAGTGACTTACCTAATATTACAGTTTTACTTAATTCTGACTTCCTTACTGTCACTCATTATGCTATAAGCAAGCAAGCAAGCAAAGCTAATATAAAGATTTATATCTCACCTGCTTTCCTTACATACATTTTTATAATTAATAAAATTAAGTTTATACAACTGGTCCTTAATCTTATTATTGTCCCTTACATACATATTTAGAAATAAAGTATTTTAAAAACTTAATAGTCAGTCTACCTTATGCTCTAATATTTTGCATACATGTTTTTGTTTGCTCTACTACACAGAAAATTTCTTAAGATCAAGAACAATATTTTTTGGAATTTTTTTACCTCTTATGCTACATACCATGGTATCTTATATAAAGGTAAGGTAGGCTTCAGTGTTTTCTAGGTTCATTTACAAAATAAAAGCTATATACACTCTCCCAAGTAGCCTTACATAATATCTTACCAACTAAAAATTTTTCAAAGGTTTTAATGTCACTGCTAAAGTCAGAGATTACATAAAGTAAAATCATTTGGAAAAATGTAACAGTTAACAAGATTAAAGTCATTTAGAAAAATGTAAGAGTTAACATGATAATGACAATTAGGCTTTACATTTAGATTTTTTTAATACTGAAAGTCTTCATGATTAAAAATACCAAATGAAGTAAATAGATTTAATGATGTTTTTGCAGTATTCATAACAATCAATAATTAATGAACAAGAGCATAGTTCTGTACAAACACAAATATGAAAATAGAATCATAAAAAGCAAAAGTGCCTTCTTATTCTTACCAGTGAGACACAAAAAGTAATAGTCAAAAATGTGTTATCGATTTTTAGATCAACACTCTCAATAGCATTTTGTAAGAAGAAAACATCAAAAGGTGATTTTTATTCTGGCAGCATCTTTTTCAGACATTTTTCCTCTAAAAGGCTAAGCAACAAGTTTTAGTAAGGGTTCTAGCAAATATCACACAAGATAATGAGGTCTTCAACAAAACAGAAGACTGAAATATAAAAAAAATCTAGTGGCATCCGGGACAATGGGTGAACATATTTTCTACATTAAAATTCAATTTAATAGTGGAAAATAAATTTATTTATACAGTCGCTGCACAAATTAGAACAAAGCTTTGTGCCTAAATTGTAAATAATTGTTAAACAGGGGAAAATAAAGTTCTTAGGATGCAGATTGTCTCCTAACTTTTTGTTCTTTTTCTACCATGAAATTTTACACATTTTATTTTGAAGCAGTGACAATTATGAAAGATATCTTTCACGTAAATTAACAATGAAAAATAACCCTCATCAAAATTTAAACTCAGTATCACTAATCCCAGGGGCTCTAACAAGCTTAAAATCCCTTGACATTCTGCTATCTGAAAATCTTCTAAGGTAAAGGAACTTTACACTCGTAAAAAATGGCAACATTCCATGTATCATATATAAATTAGGATAAATTTGAGTGTCAACAAGCTGCCATTACATTTATAAAAGCTTTCTGAAAATGTTGCTCTAGTTGGCACTGATCTCAAGGGACTCAGACAGATTTCTGCAGTGGTAGAAAAATACCAAGATTTCTTTCTGCATTCCTAGTAGAAACATACCTTCCTGCCAGTATTTATAAAAATCATGAAAAGGGAAAGTATTTGAGAAATGTAAAATAAGTAGTAAATATGCAGCATAAATTGGGAAATGTTCCATGGGCTTGCACACTTCTCCTACTAGATGTAGAAATGTTGGCTAAATCTTACCTTTGAAGCATCTAATAACTGTCTTGAATTGTCTTTTCCCCATCTCTGCCATGTAGCATTTCTTAATGGTTCTGTATTCTATTGAAGAGATTAAAAGTGAGGATAGAATTTCAGAGTAGATATTTAAAATTCTAAGATTATTCTTTTGTTCAAAAGCACACATGAAATTAAAGCCATTGTCAATGTTAGAAAGATGGTTAATATATGCCTGAAAAGACAAAAAATGTGGAAAAGGTAAAAATTATGTTACTCATTAAAATATCCAAGTGGCTTTTCTTTACATATCCTATCTCCTCTATATTGTGGCATTTCATTTTGTTTTTTAATAAATAAAGCTTGCCTGAAGATGAGTAAAACAGTCCAACTGGTTAGCCTTACATACCAGACAGTGATAACACACACCTTTAAACCCAGTAGCCAGACTAGTTTGACATAGAAACTGGGTGGAGCATGCCTTTAATTCCAGTGGTGCATGCCTTTAATCCTAGCGCTAGAGAGAAATATAAAACTGTCTCAGTCTCATTCTGAGATTCCTGGAGGCAGGATCGCCATTTCTGACTGAGGTCGAGGTAAGAGCCAGTGGCTAGCTGCTTTGCTTTTCAGATATTCAATTTGAACCCCAATTTCTGTCTCTGAGTTTTTATTAATCATGCTTCACCTCTAGTTGTCTTTGTTTTTATTTGTTCTTCTTTTTCAAACCTTTGTTTTAATAACACCCCAAAGTCTTCAACATCACTTCTCTTTTAAATTGCTTTTATACACCAACCTATGCCCAACTACATCATACTGCCACACAAGAATTAGAGTGACCTGCCAGGTAGTTATTTTCTACTCCTGGTTATGAATTCCATAAGAAGAAACAGTTACAGAGAGGAACTTGGCTAAAATGACACAACCAAGGTTTGGATATACTATAACACAACCAGAGATATGGCTATTGGAACACAGATTGCAGAGACAGATATAGAAGTGAGACACAGGAGTTTGAAGCTGAGATATGTTTCTCCACATACCCTGAGTTAATAGTTTGAGAAGACACTACCCCTCCCATTGCCTGGTCAAGGTACACGGGGAATGGGAAAAGTGAGGTGCTGAGCATGGAACAGCCAATGGATGCTGCCAAAAGAAGCAATCCAGTAACAAGTAAGTGGGCCTTCCACATTTCCTCAAAGCCTTAGTCACAGAAAGTTCAATAAGTAGAAAAAACAATATATAAATCTTCAGAAACAAAATTGTCACTAGTGGATGATAATTCTCAATCTGGAGAATTATGGAAAATCCTAATATAGACATAAAAATCTAACTTGTTTGAATTACTGAGATTAGTAACCTTCCCCACCTCCCCCACCTGGAGATATTGGTACAGTAGACAATCCAGGAGAGAGAAGCCACATCATATAGACTAGGAATGATAATGACTAAGGTTATAACATCTTCTATTTTATCCTTATTTTTATCTTTTTACTCTAGATTTTTATACTATGATAATTATTTTGTTCTAGCTTGTATCATGCCTGAAACAGGCTCTTAGGACTGTCCTTCCCCACCTCTGTGTATGTTTCTTTGTTGCATTTCCTTGTGCCACTGCCAGAAGTTCCCAACTCCTTAGTACCAGAAAGCAAACATCAGAAGAGATTTCAGTCATATATTCAAAAGCAACACAGTACTCAAACAAAAAAACAAAATGCAGAAATCTACTCAAGACCCAGATGAGAAAGTTGATGAAAGTGTTCAGTAATTTAAAGGGTAATATTAAAGCATGGAGCAAGGAAAACTGAAACTCTGGAAAAGAAACACTAAAAAGTGTTGGAAATAAAGATCAATCCATCAATCAAATAAAAAAAAACAGCAGAGCCTATCAGCAATAAATTTGGTCATCTAGAACAAACTTCAGCGATGGAGAAGAAGATCAAAACAATAATATACTCAGATGTGCATTTTAATTAGCATGACCAAAATTTCCAAGAACTCTAGGATAAGTTCAAGAGAACAAATCTAAGAATTTACCATGTGGAAGAAGAAGCTGAAATAGGACTAAGGGCATATGCAATTGATTCAGTGAAATGATGGCAGAAATTTTCCTAAATCTAGGAAAAGAAGTGGACATCTAAACACAAAAGGCATTTAGAAACTCAAATAGACATGAATAGATATGACCTCTCTAAAACATATCATAGTCAAAATATCTAAAATGGAAATCAAAGAATCAATATGAAAAGCAATAAATGGGAAATGCTAACTCACTTAAGACAAGCAACAGAACAACATCAAACCTCATTATCAACCTTAAAACACAAACGTATGGCATGAGATATTCCAAGACCTGAATGTAAATAACTAAAAAGTTATTTTTAAAATAGATAGAAATGTTAAAACATTTCAAATCAAACACGAAGACAATTCACACCAAAGAAGCCAGCATTACTAAAATCAGTACTTAATAGGAATATGATACATAGAGAAAGAAGACAGACAATCTCATCCATGACAATATGGGAAAAACTAATTTTGTGGGGAAAATAAATGAACAAAGGATAGCAAGAAAGAAACACATTGTGTTCATCAAACTACCAAACACCCAATACTAACAAGATAAGAAAACACTACTTATAATCTGACTAAGTGGAACAATGACCAGCAAATCCATAGGAACTATCAAATCCATCTTGAGAACAGTATTAAAGACATATGACCATAACCCATCATTTAAAAGATGTAGTCTAGGTGGCTAGATTGAACTAAAAACAAGATACAATCATCTGGTCTCTCCACAACACTCATAAGAACATCCACAAACTAACAGTCAAAGGATAGAAATTAACCTACTAAGCAAATAAGAATCCAAAAAGAAATCTGGGTACATCTTTAATCCTAGCACTCAGTAGGTAGAGGCAGGTAGATCTCTTAGTTCAAAGCCAGTCTGAACTACAGAGTGAGTTCTAGAACAGCCAGGGATACACAGAGAAATCTTGTCTCAGAAAAAAAAAAATTCCTTACCCATCTCCCTCCCATCTCATTCCCAGCAGCCAGCTAGCAATTAAGAGTCCTGCTGGCAGGATGCTCCACTTCCATTAACATGCACCGGACACTGTAACCTACAAAACCCACTCTGCTGCCCAAACCCACTGAATCCATCACCCTCCATCTGGCCAAACACCCCCCACAAGATCAGCAGCTACTAGAGATACAAGCACCACCTTAACCAAACAGAAGAGGTAAGTAATTGATCTCCCAACTAAACTGCCCCAATCCCTAGGCCCTAAGCCCCAGAGCACATTCCCTCCACTTCCCTCTCCCATCTCACCCCTAGCAGCCTGCTAGCAGGAAAGATTCTATCATTGAGGAAGAATATGGCATTTTTAGGGACAATACAGTCTTTACAGACTAATAATGAACAGCTAGTTGACAGGATTAATACCATCTAAAATCAAAAGTTACCTGAAAAAAATTAATATTAAAAAGAATAACATTAATTTGACAGACAAAATTGAATCCATGTCAAAGGGTACTGAGAATTCTGAAAGAATTCATACTGTTGAATTTGAAAATCAAAACTTGTTAAAAAGTTATGATAGGTTAGCAGATAGAGTATCTCTCCATGATGGCAATCTGTATGCTACCCAAATGATGTCTATGGATGAGATGTTATCTCTAAAGGAGAAACTTCAGACCTTGGAATCATATGTACAGAAAGAGGACCAGAGGCTAGGTGCCTCAATGAAATCACTAGAAATATATACAGGTTAGAAGATTCAGGCTTTACAAAAGACAATAGCAAAAAGATTTGAAATGATGAAAGAAATTATTGGAGCTGAGAACAGAAAAACAAGGCACAAGGACAGAATTCAACATCGCAAATAGCTGTCAGAGATGACTTACCCAGGGTTTTAGCTTCCTACCCTGTAATTTACTCTGATGAAGCATCAAGATCTAAAGTCCAAAAAGGATCAAAAGAAGGTAGATGGATACTATAGGAATGAATGATCTAAAAGAAATTAAGCTGTTGTAACTTATTGCTTGCATTCCGCATTTGTTAGGGAGATGATAAAGACAAGGGCTTCTAGCATTAAGGTGACACCACATGACTGGCTTCAGTTGGTTTCAGCAGTCCTGGATGATGGGCCCCAAGTGATGTTTAAATGTTATTTCAGTAAAAAGGCTAAAATTTTTAAACAGGGAAAATCAAAAGGACTTGAGACTTCCCAAGATCAAATTCTTGGTGATGGTACTTATACTGACTCCACAGGTTCAAGCTCTATACGATGAACAAATCTTGTCTCTATGCCACAAAGCAGCCTTAAATGCTGGGACACGATTCAAGAACCAAAAGAACAAATTGAATCATATACCAGGGTTAATCAGGGCCAGAGTGAACCCTTTAGTGACTTTTTACAAAGATTAACTAAGGCTGTACAAATAGGAATAACAAACCCAGATGCTAGAAGAGTACTTATTGAATCTCTGGCTTTTGAAAATGCCAACATAGAATGCAAAAAGATACTTGGGCCTTTAAAGGTTAGATCAGCACCTATGGATGAATGGAATCTGCATACAGTAAACATTGAGACATTTGATTATAATACTGAATCCTGGGTAAGAGAAGCAATTTCCAAAGGAATGAGGAGACATCAAAATGCCAAATGTTTTAATTGTGGTATAATAGGACAGCTGAGAAAGGATTGTAGACAAGAAATTCCTAGGAATAATATCTCCTCTGGGAATGGCAAGAATAGGAGGACTCAGCCCTCAGGTATATGTAGAAGGTATGGTAAAGGCTGACATTGAACCAATGAATGCAGATCAACAAAAGACAGACAAAGCAACCTGATACCATTGGAAACTCCTTGAGGGGCCTCTCGCAGATCCCCAAGCCAAAAGTGGTCCAGTCATTCCCAGTCACTGTGAACATGTCTCACCAGGAAAATTAAAAACTCCAGAGCCTTCTGTAAAAGACCATACTATTATAGATGATGGAAAAAACATGGAGAATAAATCAAAAGTTCTGATAGGGAATGGGAAATGTATATTCTGGCAAACCTCTATAAATGATCAAGGACCAAGGCTAATAGTACTTGTAT